TCCCAGTCCCCTCCCAGTGCTCCCAGTTCATCCCAGTCCCCTTCCAGTTCATCCCAGTTCATCCCAGTCCCCTTCCAGTTCATCCCAGTTCATCCCGGTCCCCTCCCAGTGCTCCCAGTTCATCCCAGTCCCCTCCCAGTGCTCCCAGTTCATCCCAGTCCCCTCCAGTGCTCCCAGTAACCCCCAAACTGGGCCCAGTCCCCCCCCAGTCCCTCCCAGTCCCTCCCAATCCCCTCCCAGTTGGTCCCAGTCCCTCCCAGTCCGTCCCAGTTCATCCCAGTGCCCCCCAGTGCCCTCCCAGTCCCCCCCAATCCCCTCCCAGTCCGTCCCAGTCAGTCCCAGTCCGTCCCAGTCACCTCCGCTCCTCAAAGTCACCCCCGTTCGCCGCGCGCCGGAACCAACGAGTCGCGCCGGAACCGCCAGAGCGCCGCCGGAAGTGACGTCACCGAAAGACCACAAAGCGACGCCCTCCGGCCTGAGCGCCGCCCCCGGAGGAAAAATGGCGGCGGGGCCCGACACGGAAGCGCCTGGAAACGTCTCGAAACGGCTCCAAACGGCCCCAAAACGCTCCGAGCTGCGCCAAAAAATCACCTCGGGCGGCCCAAAATCACCGTTTCTGTCCCCAAAATCCCCCCGCGGCCCCAACGGGGGGAAAGGGGCGGGGCGCTGAGGGCACTTCCGCCTGGGAGAGGGGCGGGGTCTGTGACGTCAGTTCCGGATCCGGTCGAGGCGCGCGCGAGGGCCCCGCGTGGGAACGGGCACGATGAGACCGGGTGGGACAAACTGGGATGAACTGGGACGGACTGGGAGGGACTGGGATGAGCTGGGACAAACTGGGACAAACTGGGACGGACTGGGGGTGTAACTGGGATGTACTGGGAGGGGATTGGGGGGCACTGGAGTTAACTGGGATGAACTGGGAGGGACTGGGAGGGACTGGAGTTAACTGGGATGAGCTGGGAGGAACTGGGGAGTAACTGGGATGAGCTGGGAGGGACTGGGGAGTAACTGGGATGAGCTGGGAGGGACTGGGAGGGACTGGGGAGTAACTGGGATGAGCTGGGAGGGACTGGGAGGGACTGG